AGAAATCTCATATATACTTATATATATCCTATTGGTTCTGTTTCTCTGGAGAACCCTGATGAATACAGCAGGATATCCTAGGCTCTGGGGTCACATAGACTTCACTTTGAAGCCTGAATCCACTTTATACTTCATTTGCCTCATCTGGGGAATGGATCACTGTACTGGGCTTGTTTTGATGGTTAAATGAGGAAGTGTACAGGAATTTTCCATTCAGTACTCGGCACATGGTGATCACCCAACAAATGTCAGCTGCTTTTAACAACACAGATCCAAGGCTGGCTGTGACTTTGGTGGTTTGTCCCAATCCCGGGAAAAAAGGCGCAGAATCCCTATAAACTGAAACATAATCCGTTTTCACCAGATTGTGATCTGTTTGCCCTTCAGACACTTGCTGCTGCTCAGTTTCAACTTAGACCCAGTCACAGCCATATTCAAACATCAAAGGCATGTGGATAATAACATACTCCCTTTTTGGTTGTTTTCCACATATGTGTATCTGACTGAATTAACTGGTTGGCTACTACCATATGGTATCCTGAGACTAACTGGGGTCAAACCTCTGAGGCTGTCCAGCAGGACAATTAGGATACAGCACTGTACTTCCATCCCATTGTGTGAATACTCTGGGCAAATCACTCAACCTCTCTGTGCCTCTGTTTCCTCATCTACAAAATGGGAATAAAAGAAGACCTACCTCTTATGTTGGGAGGATAAAATGAGATGCTGCACATAAAGTGCTCAGCCAAAGAAAACCCATCACGAGTCTTCAATGCTTGGGCCATAAGTATGATCTGTATTTCCCATGCCAATCCTACCATCTCATTGTGGAGCTTGGTTCTAATCAGGAACAGGATATACAAATATCACCTGCACTTTATGGAGTCATAAAGTTGTATTAACAGCATTAGGCAGGCTGAAAGGAGGCCCAGGCTTTCTTCTCTCCTGTAGCCTGACCATTTGTAGCCAAGCAGGTTGGGATGGGATGCAGGAAAAGACCTGTATCTAGAAGTCTCTGAGCCACTGAGTTTATAGGCTTGGATTTCTTACATAAACCAAGCTCTAGAGGATTAGAGCCTGAGGAAGAAGCGGTCTCTCTGGACTGTAATTTCCCATTCTCTCTGCTCTCAACCTTTCCTGGACTGGTGGTAAGAGATTTCCTGTTGTCTGATTGCTTAAGGGTAAAGATCTCCATTCTTCTTCGAGGTGCCTGTTCTAAAGATGAGGAGGATGAGAAAGAGTCAGATGTGTAAAGCAAAAAGTTCCAACCTATACTGTGTCTAAGGATCACAAAGTGAACTTGTTATGGTATGGAAGCCTGGCTCTTACCTCCAAATGTCTAGATTCAGTCAGCCCCACCCAGCAATCTGCACCTTTTCTAACCATTAGCCAAGGGGATTTGATGCAGAATCATTCCTGAACCTCACTGTAAGAAACATTGTTCTTACCTGTGCTCGCATCACTATTCTGATCAATATTCTGTTGCTCTGAAGCTTGTTGCTCAAGCAAGAAAATATTGGCTCTGGGTTTGCAGGGACTGCCTATGTTCAACCCATATTCAGTGCACCATCCATTCTCCCCAGCCAGGTCATTTCCTGAGATAGGCTTTAATATCAAGAAACACTTTCAAATCCCACTTTTAAAATCACTAACTTTTCAACCAAGAGAAGAAACTGAAAAAAAGCACCACATTTGAGAAAAAACATACCATTTAAGAAATGAAAAAGATCGTGATCTTCAGATGTCAAACTTACTGAGTTGGTCAGCTGAAGAACAAAAGGTATTTAAAACCTAGTGGCCAATTGGAGAAAATTCAATTTAGAATTGATTTCTACTATGTAGACTAAACATGGAAGGAGGTAGCCTGGTGTAACAGAGAGAAGAGATATTTCTATTGGAAGACTTTGGTTTGAATCCTGGCTCCCTCAGTCCAGCTATGTGATCTTAACCTCTTTGAGGCTGGTTTCCCGATGGGAATAAGGGTGTGGTCAACATTAGTGATACTGTATATAACCTGCTTAGCCCACTTATTAGTACTAGTCATGATCACTGCTACTGTCATTTATCTTTTCTCACCTTCAATCAATAAGATGAGGAATATGATGGTACTACAACTTTGTTGTAAGGGTTATTCAGTTACATAATTCATAGGCTAAACATTTAGTGCATACGATACACCAGGTATTGCTCTAGGTACTTTACATGTATTAACTTATTTAATCTCCACAACAACGCTATGAGGTTCTTCCCATTTTACAGATGAGGAAACTGAGGCTTAGAAAGATCAAGTATATTACTCAAGCTATAAGGAGGTGAAGCTGGCCTAGTAAAGGTGAAGAGCTCAGCTCAGTACCTGTCCCACAGTAGTCTCAATAATGGGTAGGATTCGTGGTGTCGTATGCAGAGAGGACCTTTCCTAAGGGCTGCCTTGGGAGTATCAGAATCATGCCTGGCTGGAGATTCCACCCTGGTCACCATGTTAGTACTGATGGAAGTTCATTCTTTCATGGAGATGGGTTCAGGGTTGCCCTGGCAGACAAAAAGAAATCTCTGAGCTACAAGCTGCAAACAGGAGTGGACATATATTTAAATAGGGGTTGAGTCACATTCATCCCATGTGGTCCCCAAATTAATGATACCTGTCCACAAAGAAACTGAATTAACTGTCACACTTAGAAAATCTCCTTTTTAGTCCTGAGAGAATGATTATGCTGCAAAGAAGCAGTTCTTAAGTCTGGCTAGAAAAAAAGAAATCTTCTCTTGTAAGTTATATTTTGATGGGCCAGCATAAGGCACAATAAAGACAGTGATATTTAAATTGATCAGGGACAGATGTTTAACATATTTTATGTAAGAGTTGTAGACACAGTTAACTGCCAAAACAGACTGTTTCCTGAAACACTGGACAGATGAAACTAAGAAGATGTACTCCTGAGGAGTTTAAACTCCTCAAAGTGACCCTAATTAAAAAAAAAAGTTAGCTTTGATCAAAGCACTTCAGTGATTTTTAAGTCTTTTGTTTCTGTACTTGGTTCACTTTGTCACGGCTACAAAGGTATCTGGGACGCAAAATTTCTCTCTTCCTCTCCTTCTCTCTCTCTGTATGTGTTACACATGTGTGAGTATTCCTAGTTTCAAAAGCATGCTTTGTTTTATTTTCTTTCTATCATTCACTGTGGGAAAATTGAATGTGCTGTACACATTGTTGGCTGTCTCCCCAGCATGTGCTCCCGTCCCCTCTCCTCAACAGTCCCTGATTTTCATTTAGGGATGTGGGGATCCAGGGATGTCGATCCCACTTTCAGCGCCAAATCTTGTCACTATTCTGCTGGAAAGCCTTTGATTGTTCCTTTTCTTACTCAGAGAAAAAACCCCCAAAGTCTTTCCATTGGGCTGCAAGACTTGATACAGTCCCACCCTATTACCTCAACCTCATCTCCTACAGCTACCCGCCGCCCTCTCTCTGCCCCTTAACACTGACCCCTTGGTCTTCCTTAAACACACCCCAGGCACTTCTATGTCTCTAATAAGCTCCCACCTCTAGGTCTTCTTTAACTCTCTGATCTATGACAATAAAGCAAGTGAAGATCGACTGAGTTGAACAATTTCTCCCCAATCCTGCATTTTTGTTCACATTAAAAAAAAAAAACCTCCAAAAAATAAGATTAATTTTAAGCATTCACCATTAAATGCTTCAAGAGGATTGTTCACCAACATTCTGCCCTGGTAAGAATTTAAGAGGATGTGTATGAAGTCTTTCTTCTTGTTTTCCTAAAGAACAATATGCAATTCAGTTGCGGAGAGAAGGCTTTGTTGAAAGCAATTGAAAAAGTTATTTACTGGGCGGGGTTTCGGTCTTGCTGCGTTTACATGGCATTGGCTATTCAGCAGATATTCACTTAATAAAACTTAAAAATAAAAACATCTGGAAAGGGTGCCCACCGATGCCTGCTTCACCATTTCAGCTTTCTGGCTTGGCTCAAGTAATTTTAATAAACTATGTTAACTCTACTTGGGTCTTGAAAGAATTCATATTCTATAATCTGGCCCTCTCAACTGCTCCAAGTTTTGGAAATAAGCCCATGAATTTAATGAAATACTTAAAATAATACTCCAAGAGACTTACATCTTGATAATTATGCAAGGAGTTGTACTTCAGGTATATGACATGTTTCTAAAATGATGCATTTTGCCTAGAGTCCTGATTGTTGCACTTGAAATGAGCTATGGTTACCAGGATCAAATTTAAACAGAGTTCGCAATTCACAGATGACCCAAAGTGAAATTCATGCAACTAACGGGGGGGGAGGGATGGTGCTGCCACTCTCTTGAGTTTGCCTTATAATGACTCTGTTTAATTTCCTGTTTTAAAGAGAGAACTTGAATGGAATTTCTTCTTAAGGGATGGTTTGGTTTAAACCTGATCCTCTCAAATGCTTTCCTAAATCCCTCCTTTGAGGATTTGGACTCCGGACTCACCTGAAGGTATCATTTCAGTTCTTGGATGAGAGACACGCTCTTCATCATTCCAGAGCAACCCGAGAAAGTCCTTTTCTGCCACAAATGGCACCAGCAAGTGTACAAAGCTCACTTTGTTCTGTGGGAAATGAAAATGTATTTTTAACAGTGCATCTTTGGACTGAGATAGAAAGAGCCTCCACCTGGACATTAACGCAAGTCTGAATCACTAACGTTCTCAACAGCAGTCACCATTGCTGTTAACACAGTTGGTGTTCAATGTCTCTGGGTCTTGTTTCATTCAATAACACAGTATCTGCATTTGCTAGCACTCCTCATCTGGACTTTTTGCTATTAAACTCAGTTAGGAAAACTAGAGTCAAATCAGAGAGTCTAAAGTCAAGGCTTTCATACTTCTTTCGCCATGGGAGGTTAGTGGAGCAAAAGATCTCCCAGCCGATCCAACCAGGCTCTTAACCCACCTTCCACTGAAAAGACGGTTCAGTGATAACAATGAAGGGTCAGTGTCTAAGCAAATTCTTTGGGATTGTGTATGTGTTGGTTTTAGTAATTCAGTGAGGAAGACTCATTTCGAACCACAACACAAAAGATACGTACAAGTGGAGTTACTGGAAAGTTACAGGCTAGACATACTGCTTATACTATTAGGAATTCCTAAGCAAAGTCAAATTAAGCCAGCAACCCCCACAAACTCAATTAATCTTGTGAGGCTAAA